TTTAGCTAAGCAAATAGGTCCGAGCCTTCCTTTGGATAATAGGCCTACATTCAGCAACGTTGTGTCAGCTGTCTACCTGAATATACTGAATGACCAGGTTTTTCCATCAATTAATTTTTTCTTTCCTGATGGCATGGACATATTCCAAGATGACAATGCCAGTATTCATTGGGCTCAAATTGTGAAAGAGTGGTTCAGGGAGCAAGAGACATAATTTTGCACATGGATTTGCCACCACAGAGTCCAGACCCTAACCCCAATAATAATCTTTGGGATGTGTTGGAGAAGACTTTACACAGTGGTCCAACTTTCCCATCATCACTACACGATCTTGGTAAAAAATGAATGCAACTGCGGAGAGAAATAAATGTTGCGATGTTGCATAAGGTTATCAAAACAATGCCACAGAGAATGTGCGGCATAATGAAAGCTAAAAGTGGTCCAATGAAATATTAGAGTGTGTGACTTTTTTTGGACAGGCAGTGTATTTGTAAAGAGCAGGCTCTGGTTGGTAATACTCAGTTTTGTATCCTGGGATTGGTACTTGTGGAGAGAGCACATAACTTTGAGAGGTCATTTGTTTTTTTTCCTTTGAGCCCCACACACCAAGTGCTACTGCTTCATAAATGTTATTATTAGGGCTCACGCACCTGGGGTCACAAAAAGTAAATTCAGGCAAATTTTCCTGCTCAGGAGCCACAGATGTTGCGTACATTTGCCCTCAGAAACCAATAGCTGTATGTTGCCATATGGTGGTATATGCTGGACTTGCACAAAGAGACAACATACAGCCACAAACACAGACAGTCTATGTTCAGGGTTGTATGTTTCTGTGCATGTGTGGTATATACCCACGTACAGCCATTGGTGTCTATGGGCTACCTTCGGCTCCTAGGTGGCAAATGCGCCTGTATTTACATTGCATGGCCCCACTCCTGGCCGCTGACATATGGAAAAAACAGATGCATGTGATTGTTATAGGAATGGTAAAGGGGGAGCTATGACTGACAGCCTGACATCACCTTCTCAATGCTGTCTGTGAGGCAAGATGGGGGTGCCTATTCGGAGAATAACTGGGTCTTGGAGGATGGACTGAAGTTCATTTTTGTTCATTGAATTTTACGTTAGTAGGTTGTTCATATTTGGCAGCAATTTTCATAAACATTGGAAGATGAAATGGTTGCTCATTTATATTTTATATTGTTCACTTTTTCAAGGAGAGGGTTTAATCAGTGGTATTTTATGTGTTTAATTTTTAGTGTGCATATACTATATATAAATACATGTCACAATAAATTAAAATATGGTCTGAACTAACTGTTTCTGTATTTTTAATCCACCTAATATCTGCTTTTAATCAAATAAATCATTTTTGGGGTATTATATTGTCATGTGGGCCTGAAACATGTCAGTGCAACACTTGCTTTCTTACAGATTATATCTATATCCCATTTTAGTACCATTCTGGGATGTGGACATTATGTGGAGCTTAAGTCCTAATAACAGTATTACTCTTTTCTATGGACAAGCTTGCTATAGAAGGTAGAGAGACAAGTAAAGTCTCCCGGAGTCTGACCTGCCATTCCGGATATTAAAAAAATCAATACAAAATGTTCTTAAGAATCCAATGTGTGAGATAAAATGAATGATGGTAGGTGATAGGTTTACTTAACAAGACACACATTTGATGTCTGCACTACAACCTGCAGTCTTTTATTTATGAAGAATACCTTTACTTCTAGGGTTTCATATGAAATATGTAAGCTTTAGAGAGCCTGTCACTAGACTTTGCAGATTGTATGTGCATTTAATGTATTTTATGCATGGTATTAATCTGCAAAATCCTCCATTGTGTAGTCATGCAAAAGGCCTGAGATTGCCACTGGTTTCGCCATCTTGGATTTGATGTCAGCAGCCTCAGAGCTGATACTCAAGTTTTATTCTTTTATATTTTCCTTCACTCCGCCACTGATAGCTATATAAAAGCCTTTTTAGGGAGGTGAAGGGAGAGGCAGAGGAGCTGGGCCAACACAGACAGTATTTGGACCCTCCCAGAAGAGGAGAGGGCAAGTAACCCATGGCTGTGCTAGGAAATGAGCTCTTTCTGGAGTCATTGAATCACCTAGTGGTCTCAAAGGCAGAATGCAAGTGAATAGAAATGCTTAATGCAAGATTTCTGTGCATTTATCTGCAATTTTTAAGAAGGTACAGGCTGAAATGTTGGAAACTCTTTCTTTAGAAATATACGCTAGTGTATCTGTATTTGTAAGATTTTGTGAGCCCTTAACAGCCAAGCTAAAGTAAGCTTCATTTTGATGAAGCAGAAAAAAATGTCACTGGTTGCCAGGAGCTTGGCGGGATGCCCGCCGCGGAATCCCAGTAGCGATCTGTATGGACTTGTTCACACCAGCAGCCATGCTCAAATGCACGCCTGCAGGTCTCTGTGTGGCCAGTTAGTGTCAATTCGCTCGTTCGAGACACATCACACTTTCTTTTGTTTTGTTAGAACTTTATTGATATGTCACGAAGTTATATGGGGACACTACTGTGCGATGTGGTTGTACTGCATGCCATACCTTTTAACACCGCCGTGTTGAACTGTGCCCACCCATAACAAGGTAAATTGCCTTGTCTTGCGTTCAGGCTGCAAACACTTCGAGTGTGAACGGGACCTATGATCATGCACTACTTTTTTTCACCACGCTGCGGTGCAGTGAAATGCATTGCCGGCAGGAGGTGCGTTTGGGGTACCATTCAAATCAATGGCAACACAATGCACCTGCTGCACTGTAAAGCATGGTATGTGCATTGCATGGTAGCATGCATTAATCACACAGAACCATGGGATTAATGCACGCGGAGGGGGCTGGATAGAGCCCCATCATTTCTAATGGTGGCCTGAGGAAGGCCAGCCAAACAAACACAGAGGTAGAAGTGCAGGATCAGTGAGTTGTGTACACATCCCATTAGGAAATAGGTATACATTTGAAAAGGTAGTATATGCAAAAACAGATTTTAACACAGTTTGGTCAAATCAATAACTAGTTAGTACTCCATGTTGTGTGTCTCTCTGCCAGAATATTCCATAATTTTCCATTCAGAGTTCTAGTTATAAGCTAAAGTCTGTTGTATACAGCTACTTTCTATTAGAAGTACTACGTGCAGAGTGACATCTCAGGGTTGCTGTAACAAGCAGTAGAATGGGTGTTTTACTACACATTCCTGTACCACAGGAAACTGACTTCAGAGCATTGAAGGGCCATTCATTTTCCACCATTTCAGATCATATCATTGATTAGAGTTAGGACCACACTACACAGAGGAGCTTTGACGGGTCAGTGTGGCTTCCACAGCTTTTGCAAATGTTGTGCAACTAAAACCTGTTTTTCACACGAATTGTTAAACAGTGTCATTTGTTTTTTGCAGACTAGCTGGTAAATGTGCTAGGAATTTATGGTGTTTGTACTGTTCAAAGACCTTCATATGTTAAACAATATATATTTAATGGTGCTGTTGCAATCTCTGTTTAGATTATTATTATTATTCAGGATGTACATTACATAGCGCCAACAATTTGTGCAATGATTTACAAAATAGAGGGAGACAATACCGATACATTACATTTTCATTACAGGAAGGTTGGGTGGGCCATGCTTGTAAGAGTTTACAATCTAATAGGAGGGGCAGGTGATACAAAAGGTAATAATTGTGTTAGATGGGCTGATGGAAGAAATAAAGGACAGTTATTATGTAGAGGTAGGATAGGCTTCATTGAAGAGATGAGTGTTAAAGAATCACTTAAAGGTGGACAGAGTACACCTGAAATCCTGGAGATGAGCATGGGAGGAGGTGACGAGAGAATTGGAGAGCAGGAGGTCATGGGAGGATTGGAGAGGACGGTTTGGGTGAAATTTTGAGATGAGGTTGGTGATGTAGTTTGGGGAAGAGTTGTAGATGGCTTTGCATGGTATTGTTAGTATTTTGAATGTTATTCATTGAACAAGTGGGAGCCAGTGGAGGTACTGGCAGAGAGGGGCAACAGACACTGAACGCTTGGTAAGTTGGATCATCACACGTCTCATGGGTTTCAGCACACCACAATGCACAAATAGTAAATATATATGTTTGTAGTGCTCCGTGCTGAAAAAATATGCAGGTCTTTCAAAAACCTGCTTTGTGGTGCACTGGCATCCATGAGCAGATTTCCTCACCACACTGCATTAACACATGAGTGATAACACACTACATACAGTATGTTTCAATCAGCCCCTAAGAGAGTTAGACAGTGGCAAAGGTGCAGAATCCCCAGGACCTTACAGAAGTTAACGGCTAGTATGTCAGGTGGGAAATATTAGTGAAGGCCACAGGAAAGAGGATGCTCTCTGTTTCTTGACAGGGAAAATCCTTCTAATATGATTTATCATGCAGTTTTAAACACCTCATTTTCCTGTTAAGCTGTCTCTTGATACAAGCTTTACTCTGCATGTGACACACTTTTTCCCTCATTATTATACACTGGCTCACTGAGCCAATGAATAGACGCAAAAGCGTTTATAAAGTCTCTCCAGTATACTGTATTTGCTTGTACATGATTGGATAATGGAAGTCAGGAGAGTTTCATCTCTTTCACAAAGCTAAGAGGCAAAGTTCCTTGCAAAGTGAATAACCTTTTTTGCCTTTTGTAAATTAACCCCAATGTCTCTGTTTTCAAATACATTAAACATTATAAATATGTTCTAAGAATCATGCTCAGAACTATTACAATAAAAAACACACTATGTCAACGTGTTTTTTAAATATTAGTAATAAATTCTGTTTAGTATTTTAGCATTTAATCAAATTTATCCTACATAAGCAGAGAATAAAAGTTTCATTCAGATCGGTTGTTGAATGTCATCTCTGTCTGTTCTTATTTCTGAAAACTGAGGATTAATGATTTCAAAAGAGAGTTCACATTACGCCTAAGGGTGAGTGTTGAGCTGAAAATGAAATTCTCTTACCTTTTAGTAATATCTTTCAGTAAGTAGACTGTGGTTTCCCTGCCATCTGGTAAAATAAGCGAGTGGTAGGGGTTGAAAAAGTCTCTTCGATAGTTGTCAGATGTTCGTATATTGGAATGGCACATACACCCAGCCAGAACGGTGAGGAGTACGCTCCAATGAATTCCATGTGTTTTTATACCTAGGGCAAGATTATAGAATTAAATCATTACTGATATTGTGGCTCGACTGCTTTTTAATACTAAAAACATTGTTTCTGTATTAGACAAAGTGGCGATATGCTTTTCTCGCAGGTTAGAAAAGGAGAACACATATCTGGTTGGATGTTACAGGCAACAAGGAATATTTTCTTTCTTCAACTAGTCATACATTTGCCCTACTGTTTTTTTAATAGGACAGCAAATTCTTGGCATGGAGTTGCTATACTTGGGGTATAGGCTGTTCACTTGGCAAAGGGTAAGGCCCATGTCACACTTCCGATTTTGTCGCTCTCAAAAACTCACCAGTAACAAGATTGTGAAAATGTGGAGGAAAAATACTCACCTGCTTGCATGTGTCACTCCCCTACCATCAGAAAAGAAAGGCATCTCATGTTCACTGAATAAAACTATACAGAATGTAAGTTGTCAGGGAGGGAGCAATGCCTTGCTCATCCAGCCAACAAGGGAGCAACACATTCAAGAAGGTGTGTTTTACTGCCGTGCTGTGTCCTGATTAGTGATCCTGCCATTGATGAGTTATTTCCAGTGTGACATGTGTCTAAGGCGTGCTTACATTAAATACTGGAGCATCTGCATCATCTGTGCATGATTGAATGATTGAGGTCATCTTTGCCTTATTTAATAAGCTAAGTGAACATATACTATACAAAATCATAATTTGCCTTGCTATGTGAAGTCTCTCTTTCCTTAGTAAAGCATCCCCAAGATATAGGTCCATGGTATTTCTACAAGTCTTTTTTGGTTTTAGTGATGTTTATATATGAGAATGGTAACATTTTCACAGTTAGGTAAACAGAAATTGTTTTACCCCTCCCCAAGGAAATCTAAAATTATCATAGGATTGCAAAAGAGGGGGATTGAGGGCTTCCATAGTTCCTGAAATTTTACACAGCATTGGTCTCACATATAGGGCCTACAGCAAGGCAAGGCATTTAAAATAAATATAAGACAACTCAAATTCTATTCATGCCAAAAATATTTCATAAGTCTTCTGCACACACAACCAAGAATGGAGTAATTTAGTAACTTAGTGTACTTTAAGGGTGGGGTCTAGGCCTATGTATTAGGTTGGTTAGTCTGTCTGGGCTAGTCAGGATTTGAGAAAAGGAATGGTGGCACTATATGGCAGGGGGAGTAGATGGGGAGTGGGGGCTGGACTGGAGGGCTATTGTTGTTGATAGTTCATGGGGTCTGGGGAGTGGAGGAGGGGAAGGGCTTTAAGATGTATTCATCCTACATTAATCTTACTAATCTGTTTGCTTCTTTTTTTCTTCTTGAGGAACTGGAAAGGTTGAGGAGCCAGAGTTCAACATACAGGAGTCACTGCTATTGGAAATTTCATTACTATTGCATAAAAAAATATAATCAGTGGTACCATTTAACATTTCGCTTAACTGCAACTCTATTTTTAAATACATCAGGAATGTTAAATTATTTTTCATTATACGGAAATATTCTAAATTATTTTTCTTTGTTGACTAAAGAAGATTATAATCTTATACAGGATTTAAATTAAGTCAGTGAAGAAAATATTACATCCTATGTTATGCCATATTGGCTGAAAGCATTCTTACATATATACTGTATGTATATTAAATGTATTGAGGTCAATTAAGTTCGCACTCAGTTTGTCAATAGACTGTCACTGCTGAGTATTTGGTAGATGCCTTATGACAAAAGTACCTACTGTATAGTTCATTACAATGAAGAAATAGTTTTGTAATTATGCTAAAATCTAGTTTGCCAAATTGCATGATAGGTATAATGGTGAATTAAATGATATACAGTACTTGGCAAAGTCATCTGCATTAAACACTCAGCTCACATAAGCTAGAGCTAACACTGGAACAGCTGGTCACCAATTCAATGGTTAGGCTTTAAAGCAAATTTAGAAGTTAGGAGGCGTTTACTAGGCATACTAGGGAAAGTATGAGCTTACTAGGCATATTAAGGAAACTGATAGGTATACTATGCAAAGCAAAGATTTGTTATATAGGAGGGCCTATATGGCTATATAACCTTTATTTTCCTTCCTTGCACTTCCTAGTGGCTCTGATCTACTGCTAGACCACCTGACAAATATTCAGGACTTCCATGTATGGGGCAACACATGACACTCCCCCAGGCTCTACGCAATGTTAAGCTAATCATGATATATTATTATTTTTTACTGCTGCCTGTGTACCAATTGGGAAAATCCACCTACACGTCCTTTCCCAGAGGTGTTCCCACTGGAAGATTTCTTCTTACCTTCTGTTCCAGTAACAGCAACATTTTGGCTATTCCTTCATTTTCTGTTCCAGTGACATGGACAAGTCATCAGGACAAATTGAGAGGATGGGTCTACCCATGATGCATACAGAAAGCAATTAAAACATTACAGAAATTCTTATCCTTTCCTTCTGTAGCCATAACTAGAAAAAATGTTGGCTGGAGTATTCATGCAATGTCCGCTTTAATGCAAAATATGCAAAATATGTTAAATAGGACAAAGAAATATCAATAGAGATCTAGTAATTATCCAGCTAATGAAAGTCATCATTAGCAGCTATTTTCTGAAAATTAAGTAATTATTTTTTTTAGCTTATTAAAATTTGGACTTATAATACAAAAGCTCTAAAAATTTAATAAGGCACTTAAGATTTTAATAAGCTGGAAGTTCTTAAGTTAAAAATCAACCATAAGGCAAATATATACAGTATATATGCATTTTCCATACATTATGATATTATTATGAGGATGATTATTTCAAGCAACTTTTAGCTTATTGAAATCTGAACTGTCTTAAAACATATTTCAAATATATAATACTGCAGTTCAGATATTAATAAGAATAGAGTTTCCTAATATGGTGATGCAATATATGGAAAGTACACATATTACATTATAATTTATTTAACCAAATAAAAAAATATCCCGACAGTACAATCCACACTGAACTCAAGTACATCCAGTACAGCTCACATGGCACCATGAACATTTCACATTGCTTCTTGCACTTTATTACTTTCACCTTTAGATGCACACTTTAGCTCTCCCCTCATGGATCTACAGGCTTTTTATTTACACAGACATGGCGTATTCTTGGCTCCCTGCTGTCAGTACCACAAAGACTGCGGAATAGGCCCTTCTCCCCGTGTAACTGATATCAATTCCCTCCTCTCCAACTGTAAGTACAGTGCATGGCAGATTTGCCACTACATTTCCTATTCTGCTTGTCTCTATATTTGTCCAGACTTAATGCAGCCTGTCCTCAGAGACAAATTAGGGCAAAATGGGGCCCTAGGCAAAATAACAGCTTTGTCAACCTCCCATCCCATTAATTGACATTGATAATGATTGATGAATAAGAACAGAGAAGCCACCTACTTGAATTGTCTCTACTGGCATGACCCCATCAAACACCAACTGCCAACAACTACATCCTCCCATGAGAAGGGACAGGCAAATGCACAATTTTAACAATGTGTGCTCTCCCTCTGGTTACCTGCAGGGGCATGAAGGTTTTAGCTGGGCCCACAGGATTTCTAACAGGCTTAAGGCTCCTGCCCAGATTTCCATGTGGATGATTTGACACTGCCTGACATTTATGGTTGGGTGACATGCAGAGTATGCAGACTCTGAGACATCTGCTTAGATCTAAAGAAGAGGAACCAGAAAAAACAGGTGTCTCTCAAGTTCTCAACTAGAGTTGACGTTCATGCTGTGTTTCCTAAGAAATGCCCCATTTCAGCTTTTATCTCTCTGTAGCACACACAGCTATCCATAACAACAGTGCATCCATGGCATGGTGAGTACACACTGAAAGCTGTTGCAAGCCATTTTCATATACACATCATGTATGTTGTTTATCGGCAGTCTTCCCACTGGCATTAGACAATTAATTACAAGCAACGCAGTCAAGTAACATGTTCTATTAGTAATCAGTGACAGCTCACTAGGTGTTCAGCGGCTCCAGTCTGTGCATAGTACCATATGAGTCCAATAAACAATGTAAGAACATTAAAGTCATTGCAAGACTATCCCATTTATTTTGTCATCATGGATCCAAAATTGTATTTCGGGTAAAATTAGCCCTTTATCCATGATGACAAAATAAATCTTGGAATTGCTGCTGATGTACTGCTGTGTTATCTGTAGTAATGTGTGGCACTTTACAACATACTCAGGACCTCAACATATAAATCAAGAAAGCAAGGTGGGTTATCTAGGCTTGACATGAGGCAAATTGCTTATGTCTTGGACCTCCCTACAAGCTGAACTGCAAGCAATACACCCTGGTCCATGAACACCCAAGCTTATGACTGTACAATGATGGAGAAGCAGAAAAATGATGAGGTCATTCCTGTGCTATCAGGTCATATACACATGCCCTCCTGTTAGACAGGTAGCACTGTAAAAATGCTGTCCCTACCTGTATCAGTGGGATTATAGTCAGCACAATCAATAAATACTATATTATAACATAACAATCAACGACAAGAACAATAATAAAACAGACAAGAGCTGGATATTAAGTTGTCACAGCCTTTATTAAAATAGTAGTATGATATCAATTTAAATACTTTAATATCAAATATTATCATGAGGTTAAAAAAGCTGCATTTGAGTTTTAAGGGTACATTCACTCCTCTACTTTTTATGCAGCACGGTTGCTGTGTGCTTCATTTGAAATGTGTTACAATTCATTCCTAAGAAAGATAAATGTTGGTGGTAAAGATGCTGCATTTTGCACCAATGATGCAGCAAGTGGGGTTTTTTGTAATGCTCCTAAGTAAGATGCAGTGAATGTAGGCTAAAGGCTTTAATTTTATTTGTTTTTTGTTAATAAAGCATTAATTAAACTAAAGTGACAAAATGCAAGGAGGTAGAGTTTTTGGTGAAAAAGATTTTGTATATCTCTTCTGCCAAAAAAAAAAACACGTTTTTTTTTCCCTTGTGTATACTGCCTACA